GAGCCCTCAGTGAAGGTCGTTTCAATTAGACGCAGTTCTTTATCGTAGCGATCGAGGATGTCGGTGTAGCGCTCCTCAAATAGCTGAGCAATTTCCTTGCGTGGATGATTCTCCAAAAGACGCTGTAACACCCGAAAGGCTTTGCTGGAGGAGTGCAGGGTGCGGAAGGAATCTTCTAGACAGCTCTTGGCGTCTGTATCAAGCGCCATCACCTCCATCCGAAACTGTGTCATCTGATTGAGCCAAGTTGATTTGTTTTCAATCAAAAATGGATCAAATTGCAGCTAAAGTGGCAAAAATGTGATTTGTATGTACAGAGCTAGCTTGCTCTCTTTCATTATGTTCATCGCATTACCGATTTAAATGGCTTTAAAAGCCCCATAACATTCTCCGTTAACAAGTCGAAGTGCTTCTGATTCGAGAACATACTTTTTATTTCAGGACCAAACATGGTTTTGTACTCCTTAACGATGTTAACCACATCTTCCATATCATTGCAAACGCCTATCATATAATCGCTCTTGGCGAACAGACGTTTTTTATCAAACTCCCAACGGTACTCACGGCCAGAGGCCTCAATGTCAGCTCTTCGAGCCATGTAGGTAGATTTCCAACTCTCCAGCAAGCGCCTTCCGCTTTTAATTTGTACTATCATCTTTTCTAAAGGTAAACTGAGAATGTGAATTCTGTAAATTTGTCGCGCTTACTTAAACAATTCTTGTGGAGTCAGCATCTTCGAGATACGATCACACAAACACCAGGCTATGCGTTCAAAGATGACGGTCATTCGGTCTTCTTTGTTAAAGTAAGGGGAAATTATCCATATCATTTGCAGTGCCTGCATCAGTGGGCATAGGGATTCGATGATGTCATCGAGATTTGTACCGTAGGTTATAATCTTGAAGTATCTTTCGACGAGTGCAAGTAATCTTGGGATGTCACAGATAACTACTCAAGTTGTACACCTACTTGGTATTGTCAGTAGCCTCGAAATAACAGCGATGAAGCATTTCAAAAACAGAATTTGGCGGGATCCTTTCCTTTAGCGCGTAGAGATACAGAACTCGTTTAATTTGCGGTTGAGCCACTTGCTCCACCAGCCGGGAGAGTGAGGCTGTTCGATCCCTCCAGTATTCAATTTCTGCAAGTGGACCTTCACCTTGAGTTGAACGGGACCTTAGTTCTTCAATGATTTCTTGCATTTTATATCTCCACTCAATAACAGTAGATTCGATTACACCCATTATTTTTTCATTTTGAAGAAGAGCATATTCATCCCCTTCGAGGTTAATTGCAGGGACCTTAAATTCCGTTGTGGAATTTAAGAGTTCACTTGACTCAGAAACGACTCGCAAGAATTTGCGATATTTTAGAGGGAATTCATTATTTTGGTATACATCGATCCGCTCAGTTTTATTGATGGAGGTACCCTTCTTGACCAAAGAGAAAGAGTTAATGTATACATTGGCCAGAATCGCGCGCAGTTGGTGTAACCAATTTCCTGAAGCGAACAACACTTCAAAATACGTAGGCATAAACTTTAGGGCTTCTTCAAACGTATCAAAAGCATCTACACAACCACTTTTAGCACGCAGTAGGCACAGATATTGAACGCTTGGGTCTTTGAAGCAACAGTTGCCAAAAAGGGCATCCAAACGGGTTTTTTTAATTTCTCTAGAAATAAGTTTCTTATTAAATTGATTATACGAAATGAAACCAATACGGTTTTCATTAACGTTAAGTTAGTGCTCGAAGTGGGGGGACTTGGTACTGGGTGAACGACACCGCTTTCGTAACTAGTTCTTGAGTATGACTTAAGATCCGATGAAATGTCGGGTTGTGGGTCATTCGGTAGGTCCGTGGTCGTGGTATCTTCTGCAAACAACCAGTCATAATATATACATACAACCTCCATCTCGTATGGGAAGTTTGATCTCTTCAAATACTGTTTCTTTAACAGTTCGAATAGTGAACTGGACAGAATTCTCAGGTGATCTATTGGTACCGTTTAAAAACTGTTCCAAGCGATAACGATTTAATCCATTTTCTCGTGTCAAAAAATCGTTAAAAATGGCATCCGTTCTTAAATTAAAACAGTTATATACAACATATTTTATCCAAAGTATCCTGTTGTCAGCCATGTAGTGACTATTCTTATTGGTGCTAGATCGTCACCATAACAACCTAAATGACCATGAGATATTTTACACTAAACTATATTATTTCCTTATGAAAATTGCACAAAACACATACAAATATTATGCATAACTTATACAAATTTTTTAACGTTTTCTACTTTCTAGAGAATGGCGCGTTTTTAAAATGGCGAAGATAGTGATTGCGGGTGATTTTTGATAAAATAAAATTTTAATAAGGACAATGAAATGACAAAAGAATGGTTTCATTTTTCGAATTTTCAAGCATGTCTTGCAGTCCTCCTACAGTGGAGACCTTATGAACAAATTGAGTACACAGTTGTCTTTGTCTTATCCCTGATCCTGGCCTAGATTGATGATGCTTGCATGTTTTAGCGATTCTCTAGATGTGAAAATAGGCTAGGTATATTGCCTTAGGTACTTAAGCTAAAGGCTCTTTATGAGATTATTAAGGTAAGCTTTTGATGGTTAGTCTGATTTACTATATTGTGTGAGATGCTTGATGCGCTGATTTCAATAAATCCTCCAGGACCGTTTTTAAGTGAGTTGTAGTTTGTGGAACTCTCTGTTACTTCTCCCTAGGTGCGGCTGACTGCCCGTTTTATGCAGCATGTGAGATGTTAGGAGACAAACTGAAACGCAGTTTACCTGATTTCTTCCTAACTAAGGTGGTTATACCATCAAACGAGTGGGATGTAGGTTCCACGTGCATGCGATCCAGTCACTATTTTCATCGTGTAGGACTATGCCGAAAAAATTGCAAAGGAGTATGGCTGGTCAAAAATGCCTTCACCGATAATCTGGCGAGAGTTGGTAGACACCGGAGGGCGTGTAACTCTCATTGGCGATGCACGAGACTTTCAGGAGTACGCCAATACCTACTATGCCATGCTATCTAGGCTTTCGAGTCACAAACTTCTACAAATCAGCATTGACAATCAGCGGTACACAGATGAGATCACCGCTAGCAAGGCGATTAAACAAGTGATGCTAAATACCTGGCGCAAAGTAACTATAATCGGGGCAGAATCGCCAACAGCTACACGTCTCGCTATGCTCCTTGCCATGATGCGACATAACGACAAGACCCGAAAAATGAAACTCTTCCTCTTTCCCGGAAGTCTCCTTCATTTTGACGCTGTCGCAAGACTGAAAGAAATCCTAGATGATTCGGCTTGTGGCGGTCTCCAAGTCGTTGAAGCCTCTGCTAATCTCATAGAAGCACTGGAGAATGCTTCACTTGTAGTTATTCTTGATGTGGTCCCAAGTGAGCCCATGAATAGTGTTGATGGTGTTTTAAAACACTCGGAGACCCGAACAGAGTGGCTTGATCGTCGGTTTCATTACTTTTATCGTCTGGGAGAGTGCATCCGTCAACACGCTGATCGAAATGTTCGGGTATTAGTGGGAGAATCGGAGCAGATGTTCGAAGGTGCGGGTACGATATCATCGTCACTAAACTTCGATGTTCAGACATTGCACATGGCCTGCAAAGAAAACGTTCCCTTAAACAATATTGTGGGGCTACCACACTCACTGGAGTACTCCATGAAGTCGGCTCTGGCCCAACGTCTAGGCGTGCGTCGGTGCGACATTGTCGATCTTATCATTTGGGGTAACATTGACTGTGTTTTCCTTGTGGATATCTCTCGTGCACGCGTTCACCGAAGGCATGGTGCCATGGACAGCGAAACGGGTCCTGCATGGTTTAGTTTAGCAGTCGAACCGCTTGTTTTCGATTTAAAAGAGCTGTATGAAAAAATCATTCCCGAGAAAATGAAGACGCGATCTGCCGGTGCAAATGCAGCGGCCATGCGTCAGGCCTCGGCAATTTTCAGTTTCATCAAACAGTGGCAGTTCGGAGACAAAGATCCTAAAGAGACCATAACTTCCTTGGTTCTCTCCTCTGCAGGTAAACCTAATTCATTGCTTGAAACCATTAACTATTTTTATATCCGAATTACGCTGTGGTTGAAAAAACAATTTTAAGTATCCAGTCTGTAGGTATTTTTTCAATCGCTCAGGCCAA